CATACAAGTATCCAGACCACTAGCCCTGCTTGCAGTTGCAGAGACCTTGTTATGCCTTGATGAGGTATGCTTTCCCCCTCCTCTTCAATTGTGGAAAATCTCAGAGTTCACAAAAAAGAGAGTGGGTGAGAAGATAAGCAAGTTGAATGACCTGTCACCTCCTGAACACACACACAACCCTGACGCACACAGAAACACAGACAGAGGGAAATCACTCGACACCTCCAAGTGTGTACATCAGGGATGTGTTACACACACAGATGACAGTGCTATGTAGAATATTTTCATCTGAAGTGATGGTGGAAGCTGCAGGACTCCCAGTTAGCTGATTTTTTATTATTTGTCTATCCAGGACATCTAATGGTATTTTTTCTCCCTCCTTGACCAGGGTCAAGTTGTGCTTTCATATACCCAAATATTAGGGCCAAGCTCTGCCTGATGTAGGCACAGGAGACTGAGAACAGAAAAGACCTTGAACTCAGATGAGTCAAGCTGAGAAATGCATTTGCCCCACTGTGTTTGAAAAGTCCACATCAGATAGTTATATGATAGTTAAAGAGTGGTCTCCAGGCTTACGCTTTAGCATGCAGGAAGCAGCCTCTATTTATTTCTCTTGGGATTCTCTCTCTTTGCCTTAGAGAAACGTGAGTCCTTAGAGAGCCCAACAAATGTGACAAAACTTGACTTGGATAAGCTGGTGTGCTTTTTGCTAGAAAAAAAACCTCATCAGTTCTCTCTCTGATGTAAATGCTGCAAAGAGGCTAATGTATATTACTCAGCTTGCTCCTTAACTAACAGAATGAAGAGCATTTGGTTGAGGATTATAGAGCTTAGTGCTCTTTCCAGTTTCTTTGTCTTTGTATTTTACCTATATGATTTTGCAGATGGCGCTAAATTGGGCAGTGCTGTATACAAGATAGAGTACAGCCAAAGAGGGCAGAGGGAGCGCTGGAAAACAGAAACATGCTGAGAAATTTGGGGGCTGCTATAGTAAAGCTGTTCCTGAGCTCTGCTGAGAGAAGCTGATCTTAAGCACTGCTTAGTGAGAGGGGGAGGCTGGTATAAGGAGATGTGGCAGCCATGGCAGGCATCACATTGGGCCCAATATAGCAGCAAAAAACCTGCCCATGTGATTTTGACTCGTTCATAGACTGCATGAGATGCAACTTGTTATAGTGTTGAAATAAAACAGTCTGGAAAGGCAGTGGGAAAAGGAGAGTGCTCTCATTCAGATTTTCCCATCCTTTCTTCCCTTCTCTTCCCACGGTGTCTCCCTGTCTATCATTTCCCCATTGCTCTTCTACAGTCAAGCTCCCCCCGCAGAGCCTTGCCTCAGCTTTTTGGCAGTTTTGACCACTTAACTCTCTACAGCGCCCAGACTGCTGATGCTTTCAGCTTTAGAAAGGGGTAATTTTCAGCGACTATCTAGTTCCTGCTTAGTACTACCTTGTCAAATCTCATTTCTTCCTTCTTTCCAAAAATCCGTAGGATTCTCTTCACGCTCCAGCCTTATTGCTGTATCCTTGCCTCAGGTATTTAATTTCTAATGCAGGGTGAAGCCTGGCTACAGCCTGTGAGTGGATTATTTTATATACTCAGTGTATGTATGTATGTATGTATGTGTGTATGTATGTATGTATGTATCTATCTATCTATCTAATATTATATAGATATAGATATTATACTATAAAATATTAGTTGGTTTTAACAGGCTGGATGGGGGGAGAGGGCATATATATCTCTATCTCTATCTCTATCTCTATCTCTATCTCTATCTCTATCTCTATCTCTATCTCTATCTTGATATCTACATATATGCCTGCTTCCCCCCACCCCTCCCCCAGCCTGTTAAAACCAACTAATACTGAATTTGCAAAACCCAGCAGTAGGGAGTTAGGAAATGCTAGAGTTACTGTTCTCAGTAATCTTAATTCAATCTCTTTGTGCCTGTGCCACATAGCTATGAGTCTTTAACCACATCCTCACATTGTCACCTCATTCTTTGCACAGGATGCCTGCCTTGTTCTGTGCCAGGCTGGTTGGAGCTTTCTTGAGCAGCAGCTATTCAATATTTTATTTTCTCCTCATTGTTCAGTGGGTGGCCTGTGCCTCATTTACTGTATGTTATTCAAGTCCAGTTCTAAAGACAGAATTATTAGTTTCCTCATGGGTTTTCCTGTGGCTTTCATCACAACAGTATCTGATAGCTTCACAATTATTAATTTACTTATTTTCATTACCAGCCAGAGATGAGGAGATGGTATTAGATCAACTTCACAGCTGAGGAACTGAGGCAGTGAGAAATTACGATAAAAAACGTTCATTAATTTTGGAAGCTGTTTGGCGATGTTTCTAATCTGTGGTTTTTTTCAGTGTATGTAGCACTATATAACATATGTTCAAAGCAGAGCTCTGCCTGGTTAATGCTGGAGTGGGAGAGTTTATCACTTCCACCAGTTGGATCACATCTGAAAGTCAGATATACAGAAAATGAGAGACGCTACTGAGGGGGCATTTGTGAAGACACGTGGCTTAAGTGATTTGCCCCATCATGACAGCAGATATTGGAGTAAGAAGCAAGAGTTAACTCCAGTCCTCTTGGATAGCTTTATGTGATTTTTCTCCCATCCCACTATTCCTTCCCTTCTTCACCAGATATCTGAAAGCAGCCAAAGACCCTGGAGCCCTGCAACAGCCACCCTTGCTGGGCTGTTTCACTTCCCGAGTGACCCTGTGCCCTGACCAAGGCATCTGTCAGCTTCTCTGCTTCTAAGGGAGAGGAGTTTCAGATGGAAATTCTCAACCATTCCCGAGGCATGTCCGTAATGACAAAGATAATGAAGACAGATGGAAATGTAAGTGTAAACCCCTTAGTTCTTACATTAAAAACCACTGACCCCTCTTTAAAGACACACTAGAGAGACTTAGAAGCATGCAACTCTGTGCTCGTTACTTACTGTGTGGCATGAATATTTCTTTGTTTCAGGGAAAAGCTGGCATGCTAGAGAATTGTTCATAGAGATCTCTCCATTGCTTATCAATAGCCATAAAATTGATTTTTTCCCCTCTTTATGAATTCTTAGCCCAAAGACTGAAGTTTCTCTGGTGCCTCCTGGGAACTATTTCTAATTTTAAGCCTCTGTCCTTGTGCCTCATGCAACAGCACCCGAGGTGTGGAGCAGTCTCTGAAATGTGCTCCCTAATGACATGGTATAGTGCTGAATTACTCATTCCTTCCCATCTATTTTCAATGCTGTGAGATAAGTCAGAAAACAAGGGCAAACGTGCAGAATGTGTGAAATCTCTCTGAAGGTCAAAAAGAGAAGAGAGGCTAGCGTAAGAAGTTCTGTATTTTCTGACAAGGTTTAAATTTTTCATGTGAAAGCCCGTAATACTAAAATATTGTGAAAATATATACTGTTGTGTGGAAAAAACCCAACGACCCCAAATAGTTATAGTAGCAGGAATACTTAACATAGTTCCCAAGTGACCAGAGCCTCATGAGTATTTTAAACTCTGAAGCCTCAGGAATTCTCCTAAACTACTGTTCTGCTCTCAAGGAAAGGGGGAAGAAAGTTAGAAATCTGTACTCTTCTCAGAATAGATTTTGAAAAGACCAGGAAAATGCAGATTTTTTTTGCTTCCGGTGCAAATACTGAATAATGTGAGGCTTCTGAATAACAGTTTAACCTCTCCTGGTTGCACAAGCATACACACACATATATTGCATGCATTAAGTTCTTTATTCTTGAAGAGAGGATTACATAGGCAGCAGTAGGGAAAACCTCTCACCCGTACTGCTTCACCGAGGTATTTTGACAGGTTTATTAGCATGGAGGAAGAGTTCAACAATTAAAGCTCATTCAGCCCGTGACTTTTTTAACTGAGGTTTGTCCAGAAATGATCCTCTGATAGTTTTTACGATACTTTAGGAATAGAGGCACTGCCTCAGTTTACCTGAACTGTTAAAATCAGAGTGCCACAAAGCTCATTAGACATGACAAATGGCCAATAAAATGACTCTTTAGGAAATGGAAGGAGTCACCACGGATCATAGGTGCCAATTAGCAGGCATCCTTCACATTCATTGTGATTTCTTCTTTCCAGACGGGTGTATAGGGGTACTGTGTTTTCAAGCTGGGCTGTTCTTTGAAACATGCAGCGTCAATGCTAGAAGTATTAAATGATGGAAATGTAATTGAATAATTATCCCAAGTAGGAAAAGGGCAAAAAAGTTAGGAGGACAAATAAAAAGAAACAGCAGCTGCTAGCAGGAGAGGGAGTTTGTCCCTCTAGGTCTGCATGCCTCCTTTTCGAGCTGCCCTGGGCAGCGCTGGGATGGGGAGAAAAGGGATTCTGCCCACAGCGTGTGCAGCGCGGGTGACTTTGAGATAGAAGCAAGGCACTTCTCTACATTAGAGTTACGTTCCCAGGCTCCATGTCAGCGACCAGCCAGGACACAGTATTCCCAAGGAAAAGAAACGGCAATATTTTAAAATCATCCTGCGCGCTTCGGAGTATAGGTGGTTCATGCAGACACATGATAAAGTGTTTATACCCTGAGAGCCTCTTGTAGGTAAGAGTTCCCTTCACCACCCCTGCTGAGCAGCCTGACAGCACGCTGAAATGGGGTCTGACAGAAACTGCAATTTGCACATTATACAGTGAGGATACTTGAGGTTCTTATCCCGCTATCCTGTACATTGAAATCTATTGGTATCCATGTTCATTGCAGGGCAGCTTCCTTCTAATTTCTGTATCTGCCTGTGGCAAAAGAGTTTAAATTTTAAAATGTCCCGAGCCCATCTGGTTACTGGTCGGAATGTTTTAGAGAGACATTGAAAGAAAAAGTAAATTTCTTAAGTTATTTTTCACCATCCTTCTTTTCCTGCCTCACCAAGTCCTTCTCTTCCCTTATGCTGTTTTCCACTTGAGTGTAACAGCTTGATCTGCCGTCAATGTCTCTGCAGTTCTGTTATTTCCCCCTCATGGTTACTTACCAGATTTCCAGTATCTTGTCTTCTGTCTCCTTTCCTTCCTTTAGCACTTTTCTTTTCTGTAGTTGAGTTGGGCTCCCTGATCTTCTCACGTGCTTGGTTTTATTCCTTTAATATGGTTCTCTCTCTCTTCCTCTCTTTTTCTCCACCCCCTTTCTGTGTCACTTTCTGTCTTCCCCACTGCCTCTCTGCCTTTCCCCCTCTTCTTTCTTCACCTACTTTTCTTGTCTCTCCCACCCCCTCCAGCTTAATCTTTCTATTTTCAAACCTAGTTTCCTGTTGTTTTTCCTTTAAAGACGATGGATCTCATTCCTCCTTCTCCATTCTCAGCCTCTCCCCGTGCCGCCCTCCCCATGCCAACAGGATGCACTCGCTGCTGGCTTCGCGCTGGCCCTTCCAGTTGCCGCTGCTGCTGTTCCTTGCACCTCCTCCCCCAGATAACATGCCATGGTCCTTCCTTAAATGAAAGGAGACAGAGCTTCCCCACAGTTACATCAGCCAGACCCTAGGAGGATTTTTCCGTGCAAGGCATCAATGAAGGACATTTTTCTGACTTGTTCAAGCTTAATCTGGCAAAGCAGAGTTCATGTGGAGCAGGGTCCTCCACCTCTTCAAATAACACAGGACTCGCTTTGCTGGCTTGGATCAGGGGTCCAGCACAGCTGCAGCCGTGTCCCAAAGGGCATTTGGTGCTTCCCAGGAGGGCTTTATAGGCCCCCTTACTGATAAATAGAGAATAACCTGCCTGTCAAGAGAGGTGTCTTTTGACACACCACCTCCCCAGCACCTCACCCCACACACAGTCTAATGCCTGAGCATTTGGGCCTTTCATAAAAATGCTTTTGGCACATCAAGTGTCTGAAGGTCTTGTATTTCATGTATGTGTAAAGTTGAGCCTCTGATTCCTGCACATCAGGCCCCAGAAAGAAGCATGAATCAGAGATGCCTTCTGGCTTCGATAAAAGGCTGGTCTCAAAGAGCCAGTGTCAGGAGAGTGAGATTTGCACTGAAGACTCTGCTACCCTGAGAGCTGGCTTGCTGCGCACAAGCTTTGGCGGGTGTCCCTCCAGCAATCCATCCTGGGCCAGATATCTCCCATCTAGAACATAATTGCCCAGTGGTCCTTATGCAGCAGCTGGTGTGGGTCAGGAAGCAAAAGCAGTCCAGAGACTAAAACACAGGGCTGGCAACTCTGCTCATCTAATAATCATTCTCCCACTAATTTAGAAACCCCCTTAGTCACAAGATGGAAAGTCAGCCTATGCAGGGACAGTGGTGTGCAGGGGCATGTCCTGTGTGGACACTCGCACTCTGAAGTTAAGAGTGCAACTCCTTTTCAAGAGGGCTGAATCCTCACTGATGGTTAGTGCAGGACATAGAGTGCACAGAAGATTCCCATAGCAGCTCAGTAAACTTCTGGTATGGAGAAACTATAGTCATTTGCTGCTTCATTTCTAACTTTATTGAAAGGCATTCTGTGACTACAAAGAAAATGTGGATGTTTCTGGAATTGTTTCTCCCTCTCCTGCCTGGCAGTTTTATTCCTGCAATGGAATTTCATGGGAAGGAGAATATCACCGTGTTCTTTCACCTTTCTGGAGTAATTAAATTAAATGTAAAATCCTGTTGATTTTATGCCAGTGAAATTGTCAAGGTCTTCATCATAGAAGCATCCAAAAGAAGGTGTTAGTAATACAAATGTAGCTCACAGATGGCTTTGGGATAGGCTAGCTAAGGCTTGTCAAAGGTTTCTCATGTGCTGTGGAGAGGCAGGTCCTGTGAGTGAGCTATCTGAAATGTAATCCCCTTCCTGCATAGTTGACACTTTGCTGTACACTCAGGGTGACCAGGTCTGATTCTCACTGCTCATTCATTTGTATTTCCTATCCCAGTATTGTTCCTGAGTGGTGTATTCATTCTCCTGCAGAGTTAATCTCTGAATCCAGCAGATACAGTCTAGTCCTCTTGAGTGAATGAGGGAGGGGAGAAGGTTTCTGTCCAATACATGCATCATGCATGTGAAGCAACTGTTACGAGTTCTTTTTTTTGGTGGCGGTGATGGGTAACTACTTGAATTTTTATGTACAGAAAGGAAACGGATGAAGGCAGATGTGGAGGTAAAAGACAGAGGATGAGTAAAGACGTGTAGATACCTCAGGCAGCCCCTCAATGTATCATTCCTTCTCTTCTCTACTGCACCCTCTTCAAGGGAAAACAGAGGTGCCATGGCAGCTTCTCCAGCTCCATAGCTAGAGAAATAGCTGTTTTGCCTATTGATAACTTGGAAAGAAGGATTTTTCCTCCCCTCCCCAAGAGACTGCTATGCAAAACTTGTACGACTTGAGTGAGGAGAGCAAGTGGAAGAGAATGCTCCCCCAGCCTGTGGGAATGAGGAGAACAGCTGCCAGCTTGCCATGTGCAGCTTGCAGGTCTCAGCAGTTTATGATGCTGTGGAACAGATTTTGAAGGAAAAGAAAAATAAAGCCAGGACGTAAGGGGAAAATAAGACAACATGTACCATGTTTTGATCAAAGCTTTCATGGAGTAAGATTCCTGACCCACTAGGTAAAAGAAACATAGCAGACCGTATCTACCTGGACTTCAGTAAGGCATATGATATGGTGACACAGAAGAAGAAGCAAATTAGTGGAGAAGATTCAGCTGAAGAAGACAGAGATTATCAAGCAGTTAAGGGACTGACAGAAGTGAGACACCAGTTCCCCAATAGGTCGAAGGGAAGTTATCTGTGAAGCTGCTCAAAGATTGCTCTTAGGACTGATCTTTCTTGCTATTTGTGTTAATTACCTTGGCACTGAAAGTAGAAATGCTAATGAAATTTGCTGATGGAACAAAGCTGGGAGGTATTGTTAGGGTGAGGGTGGATTCCAGCACTAGGAGAGCTGAAGGCTTTTTACCACTGGAGGGATCAAGGTGAGGTTAAATGAGAGAGTGTAAAGTCACACTTTGAAGGAACTTGTTGAGAGTAAGAGGAATCTTTCTTAGCAATTGGAAGTTCCCAGCTGGGAGGATCGAGATAGGGAAAGTCCTGGGTGAAGGTCACCAAAGGAGGAGGAACCAGCAATGCTATGTGGGGGTGAAAAGACAAGTGAGCTTTCAGGACGTAGCAATACTTCAAGTTGCAATGGGCAAGATTAATGTCATCCAAGAGGATGTGAGACCGCACCAGAATAGTGTGTGTGGTGCTGCTCACCCACATTCAAGAAGGATATTCAGCCTGGAACAGGTGCAAAGAAAGGCAATGAGGTGATCAGGGGGACGGAGGATGTCTCTCAGCCAAGAGTATGTTTATTTATCAGTCAAAGTGATAGCAGAGGGATATTTGAGCTGATCTGGAAATAGGTGCCATACCAGTTTGAGCTTTTCTGTATTAATTATTTTGCACTGAACTTCATGCTAGCGCAGCTACCCAAAGTAATTAAAACACGGTGTGGTGTGCCTGCAGGGTGAATACTGTGAGGGAGCTTAGTTACTTAGTCTGGCAGAACAAAGGTTAAGAGAGGAGAGATTTGCTGCCTATAAATACTTTTAGGAATTGGGGGATGGGAAAGTAAGTGCTAGGGAGAGAGGAGAGCTACATAAGCTAAAGGACAATGTGGCACAAGAATAAATAGATATAAATTGGCCATGAATGAATTTAGGTTGGAAATCAGAAGGTTTCTAAGCAACAGAACAGGGAAGGAGGTGCTGGAACAGCATTCTAGTAGCACAAGTGAGGGTGGAAACCTAATGAGATTTAGGACAGAGCTTAGTAAGTTTAGAAAAGGCCATTTGTTTTGTACTTGCCTGTTATTCAAAGGGATTGAACCAAGAGCCAAGAGGTTCCTTTTTCATTCCATTTCCTGTACTTGCCTTATTGCCTTATCAAAGCTGCTCCTTTTCACACAGAAGCCAGGTAAATCCTGAATAGAGTTTCTACAATGAGTTGTTCGGCATCAACCCCATGGATATTTAATGGAGGATTTATTCTGTGTCAGAGGTTTAAACAAACAGAAAGAGCAAGCCAACACAATGCATAGAGAAGGTCTGCAAATATGCAGTAGTATAGATGAGAGCTCACATATGAAAGAGCTTCTTCATACAAAACAGACGTTCTTGGAGCATCTGGCTTTGCTGGAAGGCTGTTTCAAATGCGGGTAGATGCCCTCCTGAGATTTGAGAACTTAGGAGACTGTCTGAAGGGAAAATGTCTTGTACTTTCCCGCCATTACTGAGGACTTTGTGCTTGGGGAGGATATCAGATTTACTGCATTGGAAATTTCATTTAAAAAGCAGTTGAGATAGAAACTCCTCACATATATTTCATCTCTGATGCCTGACCATAGCCCTGCCCTTTGATTCTTCATATTGTCCCATGCTGGACAGGCACCTCTAGTACCTTCTCTAAAGCACCAATGGATGCTGCCTTCCTGGTGAAACATTTTCTCTAAAATCCCCATGCATGAATATGATTGAAAAAGAAGGAGAGAGAGGAAAGTTACATGTTAGATCTCTGGAGACAGCTTGAAGATGTCCTCCAGCAGGAGGCAAATTCCCAAGGACAGACTGGGCCCAAGGGAACAGGAGTAGCATGTGATAATGGGCCCCTGCATGAAGTGGAACAGTTTTATAGTCACAGTTCCTTATCTAGTAAAAAAATCACAAATTATTTCATTGCAGATGGAAGTTTTCCCCTTTCCAGCCCAGCGTACCAACCAGCACAGAGTGAGAAAAGAGGAAACAAGAAACAGCAAGGTGTGAAATGTCACTGTGTATCAGTCTCATTTCCCAGTAAAGTTTTCAGCAAGAGAAACTAGAGGATTTCATCTCACTGAGAAGATGAAACATGTATCCCGAAGTTGATGCTTAGTTGTCAGCTTTTTGCTACTGGAAATAAAGCATGGGACTCTTAAAACTACTCCTTCCACTTTTCAACTTTGTAGCGTCTCTGAGTAGTCGAGAAATGCTTTGCAAATGACAATGTAATTACAGCTCCTATATACACTCTCCTTGCTCTACAGGTGGAGGAACCAAACCATGGAGACTGTAAAGTTT